CCAAGTGTCCTGCACATTTGGCTTCTGCCGTGCAGGCCTTGCAGAGTCTCCCTCTAGGTCATCCCTCTTTTCAATGGCCACCTCTTCGTTTTCCCGATGACGTCGTTCCGCCGCCCCCATCGACCGCTGCCCCCTCGCAAGTGGCGCCATCTCCATGTGCACCACTTGCTCCCCTCCCCCCTCGCCCGCTTCGTTAGACGATTCCCGCATCCGTTGATGACAGACCATCTGTGGCAACGCAGCCTGATGCGCAAGGCACCGTGTCAGTTTCAGGTGTTGGGGAACCTGTGCCGTTCGACGAGCAAGGCACTCGTGCTTTCGTTGAGGGCGGTGGGTGGGGGAAGGACGCTGACACATCATCAGGCCTCGTCCCGTTGTTCACTGGCAACAGGGACAAGGTCCCAAGAGTTCGACGCGCAGACACACGTCCGGCCGTGGCAGGAGCACCCGCAACAGGACATCAATCCGCTGCGTATCCATGGTTGCCTCCCCCTCCTTCGCAAACACGACGGCCTACACCAGAYTTGACTTCGRCACCTGTTGGCGAGGCCGCTGCAAYGGCSACTGAGGGTGCGGGAAACRTCCAGCTCGACGAGCCCGTCCAGGTTTCGGATTCGTCACCCACTCCTGTGCCCGTGAACGGCCCAACCTCGCAGCACGGTGTTTTTGGGACACTGGATCCTTTACAGAATCTGCGCAACATTGCAGCTCCGAGTCCAGGCCCCACCGCATCACCTGCGGCCGGGGGCGGGGTATGGGATTCGCTAGGTATGGGCGTCGGTGCACGAGTGAGGGGCACTTACAGGCAGCAGGCGGTGACCTCGTATTACAACGACCCGGTGGAGCACGCATGGCACCTGCAGATCATGTGATTCATTGTCAAGAGCGGCATGCCGTTCAACTGTGTGAAGCTTGAGAGTTTCAAACGCATGTTGACGTTGATCATCCCGCCTGGGGTTCCAGGAGTCCCCACCCCAAACCCCCCAACGTATCACATGATCCGTACCACACTTTTGGATGAGCTTGATGTGGAAGACAAAAGTGTGTGAAACCTGTTCTCGCTACTGCAGCTACCTACGGTTGCACGATAATGACAGACGGTTGGACCAACATTTGGGGCCAAACGTTGTGCAACTATCTCGTTGGCACTACACGGGGCGCCACATACGTCGCGGCAGATGTTATGCGAGGAAAGAAGGATGTCACTGCTCTGGCGCAGGCTTGGCTGTGAAGGTTGAAGTCCCTTGACATCAAGCTCGCTGACATCACCGCTTTCGTCACAGACTCTGCCAGTTCGAACGTTTCTGCGATGGAGGTGTTCCAGAAGGATGAGAGTGTCAAGCACATCTTCTGGATTCCTTGTGTGGCACACGTCATGGACCTCATCCTTGAGGACATCGGCGGCATTGACTGGGTGGCGACCCGCATTGCTCAGGCGCGTTTGGTCACAAAGTTTTTCAAGCGTCATAGCCACGCTCGCGAAGTTTTGCAAGCTTTCACGATGAAGGCTCTGCTGCTTCCCGCCGAGACTCGCTTCCGTACGCATGTGATTATGATGCGACGACTTCTTCTGCTGCAATCACATCTTATGCAGGTGGTCGTTGATGATCAATGGAAGGACACTGTTTGGTCAACGAAGAAGATTCGAGACGACGACGCGGAAGGTCACAGCATGTGTCGGTTGTCCTCAATGGTGGGAGGATATGAGAGCGCTGTGCAAGTTGTTGGATCCCATCATGGACATGCTGCAGATGGTGGACAGTGACACGAGGCAGATTGGCAAGATTCTGCGTCGGTACGACAAGATGATCGCGCGTTGTTTGTCTGCATGTGCCGCTTTGGAGAAGTACGAGCAGGACGCGTTGCTTGAAGTGTTTGACAGACGCCGCACCATGTTCAAGTCGCCTGCTCATGTTGCTGCCATGATGTTGGACCCCGAGTTTCGAGACCGCACGATGCCAGATGACGAGGAGATGCAGCACGGTTTGAAACTCGCTCTGATTCAGTTTGGGTACCCAGAACATTCAAATCAGCACAACGAGGTCCTCACTGCCATTGACAAGTTCCATTCCAGGGAGCCGCCGTTCGGCGACGTGGCCATGGACCGGGCGGCGAGGAGCTATACCCATCCAGCCTGTTTCTGGGAGTCGAAGGAGAAAAGGTTCCCGCACACGGCCTTCTTCGCTGGCAGGATACTGCGTGTGTGGGCGACTGCGTCGCCTTGCGAGAGAGCTTGGTCCCGTTGGAGTTTCATCCACTCCAAATCTCGTAACAGATTGGAGGTGGCATGGGCCGAGAAGCTCGTGCGATGCCATTGGAACCTTCGGCTCCTAGACAGGCAGGGTATGTCGGACGATGCTCCCAGTGACAGGCCACATCCGTATGGGAGCTGGGTGCATTACTGGCAGCAGGTGGAGGAGGAGGTGCCCACCGACCAGCAGCTTGTGGCAGACCGAGGAGCCCATGTGACGGTCACGAAGGAGGAGTTGACGCAGGCGAGAGAGAGGATGCGCGTCGTATCCCGCATGGGAGCCACTCGTCGCTTGCGGGAGTCTGACAGGAGGAGGTGTCGTGGCGGCGGTCGCGGAGGTGGTCGTCGGGGCGGTCGCGGGCGAGGCGGGCGTGGAGGTCCTGGCGGGAGGCGTAGTGTCGCGAGTCGTGGAAGGGCAGTATACGAGCTAGTACGCAAGCCTCGACAGCGATGGGAGGAGGGAGACTTTTTGTACGAGAGCTCGTCCAGCGATGACGAGGATTTCTTCGGGACTGGCAGACCTGCACAGGATGGCGACAACGATTTTGACGACCGTCACCCGAACGTGGGCGACGACGATGGCGCCAATGGCGATGATCACGGTGACGGAGGAGATAGGCCACGACCWGCACATGGTGACACGATGCGCGCCGACGGGGCAGGGGGCGAGCACCGCACAGCAGTAGATGACGCTCGAGATTGAGTGCATCATGATGGTTCACAACTTGTCTCGGGCGGTGACCTGAGGCGCTTGAAACGCGGACCATGTGCGCAAACGTCATGGTGGGGTTGCTAGCATTCCACTATCACGAGTCCCCGCAACTGGGCAGATTCCAGTTTCTGAGGACTCTTTCAGCGATCACGGCGGTGAGGAGTGGATCGAGCTGCATGGCGGGAGTGGTCATCCACGAGGTGACACTTCGAGTATGCACGCGACAGCTCCGATGGGGCCTTCCGCAGCAGTCCCAGAATCGCAACAGGGTTCAGCACCGTTGATGCGTCATCCCGAGGTTCAGGCAGAGATCAGTCCTCTCCCGGCAGTGCGGGACGAGGGTTCTGTCGGTGCACTGCATCCACTCACGTCTGCCGGAGCGGCAGTCTCAGTTGCAGCGACCTCGAATGTGGGACAACCACTGGCAGAGGCGGAGCAAGAAAGTATGCTCCCACCTCGCAGTGTTCAACCGCGGCCACTGCCTGCATTGATGGAGGGGAGTAAGGGGACCGTTGTTGTGTGTCAAGGCGACGATCTCCTGGAACGTGATATCTCACACACTCCCGCAGCCGAGCAGAGCGCCGCAGACCATGTCGGCCTCGCATGCCCCACCGGCAGTCTTCCGGGTACCGGCGAGTTACTGACCATGGACTCTGCGCTCGTTTCTCTACCGGACTTGTCGATGTTGATATCTCTAGGTCTACCCCATGTGTCACCGCCCAAGCCACAATAGCCTGTTGTCATGGAGCGTGGATCGGACGGGTTTGACGTGGCAGGAGGCGATATCGCCGATATGATTACGAGCCCAATGGTGTCTGCCACACCCACAATTTTTCGTGTTGGCAAACTACGCGAGGTGACCCTTGGTTTGGCGAAGACGGTGACGCGACACCGCCGCGACGGTCAGCGCAGCATCACACAACGCAGTCTTTCTCATTCGTTTGACGATGCAAAGGAAGGGTCTCCTGGTGGGCCAGTTGACACACTCGAAAGAGAAGCAAGACCCCCAAGTCCACCGTCAAACTCAGAGCATCATCCGATTGCCGCGGCTGTCGGCGCAGATGCGGGCGTCCCCGTCACAAACAGTGGCGCGGACGCGACATAACAGCTTGTGGTTGGGTCATCCGCGACAACACGGCGCGACAGAGCCACTGTTTTGCCGACAGTGGCATTCTATGCCAGTGGGAAGAGTACTGGGGGGATGGATGAGCAGGGAGTCCGGAATGTTGGCAGGCCATCTGCACCGTCTATGGGGAAACGATCCATTGGGAGTGTGGATGGTGCTCGGCACACCGCCATGGCAGAGTTTGAGGACCGACACGGGAGTGCTTTGCCGACGAAGACGTCTGATGTCCATGCTACGAGAGCCGCAAAGGCGAGTCTTTCTCGGGCAAGGAAGAAGGCCTCGGCAAGGAAGGCGTCACGTTCATCCTCACATATGCGTTCCCGAGAGAGAGGATCGGGCGTTGTGCATCTCGAGGACGGAGAGATTGCACCTGACGGCGACACATTGGATGTTGGAGGGAGGGATGCAACGACGGCGGATATCGTCGGCAGGGAGGGCACAGGGAATGCAGTGACAGGTTAGAAGAGACGCGACAGTGTACTTGTCGTCCACGACGAGAACACAGATGTCACCCCAGGAGAGACCACAGGCATTGATGATGCAGGGGACTCCGATTACGTACCCAAACCACGGGYGGCAGATGGAGATGATGGAGGAGGGCGACGAGTGAGACCGAGGACACGACTCGGGCCGCAAGGGCAGCGAGCACAGGGCACACCATCGGCGATGATTCCTGTCCCCATAGATCGGCGAACTCAGGCGCAGCGGTTGCTGCGCAAAATGGAGGCCACTCTTCAACAGACGCACGGGTTATCGCTTGGCCGCGAAGAGACGGAGATTCAGAGAGAGAGAGAGAGAGAGAGAGAGAGAGAGAGAGAGAGAGAGAGAGAGAGAGAGAGAGATTTATTAAATACTTGCGCTGGCTGCGTTATTCGAGAAGCAGGCGCGGGCTTTCATTAGGACGGGAGGCCATATGGCCTAGGCCCGTAGCATGAGAGCCTATAGCCGGGCAGAAAGAGGCGGTTAGAAAATTGCTTCACTTCAGCTTGTTATACTTTTATTTTGTTACCCTCGCAGCCTCGGATCTTCACAGCCTCATAGCCTCGTAGCCTCGTAGGTATCTTATTGTGATTGGTTGTTGCCACTTGTTTGAACTCTTGGGAGTCTTGGGAGTATTGTCTGAGAGAGAGAGAGATTTATCAGATACTTACGCTGGCTGCGTTGTTCGAGAAGCAGGCCCGGGCTATCACTAGGATGGGAGGCCATATGGCCTAGGCCCGTAGCGTGAGAGCCTATAGCCGGGCAGGCAGAGGCCGTTCAGAAAATTGCTTCACTTCAGCTTGTTGTACTTTTATTTTGTTACCCTCGCAGACTCGCATCCTCGCATCCTCGTAGCCTCGTAGCCTCACAGAGTCGCAGGTATCTTATTGTGATTGGTTGTCGCCTCTTGTTCGAACTCTTGGGAGTCTTGAGAGTATTGTCTGAGGTTGTATATCTATTCAGATGGTGCAATGTTTTTTTTTTTTTTTTTTTTT